AAATAATCTTAGCGGACCGGACCAGATGCAGTCTGGGGACTTCCATCAGAATTCATAGTTTTTAAATGGTTTCCAAATTAACCTGATCCTGCATGCCTGATCCGATTTTACCGAACAGGACGCAGTGTGTGACTAACGGCGCAAATCGAACGGCATTCATGTTCGGCGTCCCTATACCAGCTGTATTGAGGGATTATGATTATATCGCAAAGATTGTAGGGAATTTCGCACTAGCCTCTAGTGGATACTATTCTCTGTATACACTAACTTGGCGTTTGAACCCTTGACTACCTGCGGAGGGGCCGGGACCGTCCCTCGCTCGCTTCTTGAGCAGCTGTTTCCATAATTAGTCACCTAGTAGCACCTCCACTACAATTATAAACTTTTTTGTGAGTGATGGAATTTTAATTTTTTTTCTCCACAAGCAAAAAAATCATGAAATATTAAGAAAAATGATACCAAACTTGACCACATTCCGTTGACTTAAGCTTAAGTTTAAATTGTTTTAATTTGGTTGATATAATTGTATTTAAATTTAATTTACCAAAATACCTAACAATGTTATTCATATTAAAAATATGTCGTGTTAGGGGGGGGGGGGTTGGGTAAAATATCCATTTTTATATCTTTAAACCAACCCCCATGTCTTCCGGGAAATGAGTGATTCACGTCCTAAGACCTCTGATGAGTGACGACGATTCTGACGTGGAGAAATGCTATTGATGAAATATATATAATCTACCGAAAAACTACGGCAGGCCCGTCGTAGGCATACGCTTTATGCAGACAATTAATTAAAAACATTTACTCAACACATGCACATGATTCTGTAATTTTGTATCGACAATTCCCATATCCTTAGAAACATGATGATTGTTTGATTAATTTTAAGTTTAATTTGACCCGTAGAAAATCACGCAATTTTGATTCTTCAAGCCAAATGCTACTTTCACTCGCATTTACGATTAGTTTTTTTTTACCATTTAACAAATAACATTACGTATACTTAATGAAACGTACGGTTTAAAAGTGTTTCACGTTTACAATAGTCTTAAATGTGATTGGTTAGATCTACTCAATGAAACATATGAATTAGGTTGTCAGGTTGTGACAAACCACATCACCTCAACAAGTTTTACACGTTTTTACTTTCTAAACTTTATTCCCCAAACAATATTAGGAAATTTAAATATATAAATCACTATTCATATTTGTGTTTGCAGATTCGCGGTGCACGTCTGATTCAATTAAAAATAATTCATACATAACGATATTACAGTTTTATTTCTATCCCTAATAAAGTTTCTATTCCTCAGTAGCTACTGTACATATAAGTCTGTAGGTTCTACAAACGTAATAAGAATATGGTCAAGTTTGGTATCATTTTACTTATTTATTCATGGACTTTTTGCTCGTACAGATAAAAATGTAAAATTCCGCCCCGCTTAAAAAAGTTTATAATTGCAGTGGGGGTGCGACTAGGTGACTAATTAAGGAAACAGCTGCTCAAGAAGCGAGCGAGCAAGGGACGGCCCCGGCCCGGTCGCAGGTAGTCAAGGGTCCAGACGCCAAGTTAGTGTATACAGAGAATAAGGAATTTCGTACTACAGTCTTCATAAGTGGAAAAAGGGAACTAATATTTTGTTGATGTAAAGGTAATATATACATATTGTTAATTACTAATGTAAATATTGTGAAATTGATGGATAAAATAGAAAATTCATATTCTTATTCGTATGTTGTGCCTGGGTGTTTAAAATGCAAAAAGCAACGACAGGCGGACAGAAGAATCCAAAAATAACAGGGGACATTGTGAAAACTTGTGAAACATATTGCTCTGCATCTTTTTATCCACGGTCGGAAAGGTATACTTGGTAATAAAGAGGAAACAGTATTTTGCGCTTGAGTGAGTGAAATGATAAGAAAGAAGACAGTGAGCGAAGTAGTGGTAACGATTTCTTACAAACTCCAGACTCTCCAGACCTCTTATCACGTTATGACACCTTCGTGAAACTTGGCTTCTCAAGTATATGAATAGTTACAGGACGTTTGACTACGGTAATTGATTAAGCTAAACAACGCCAACGCCATTGGCCTTAACTCCATTAACCTTTTTTCAATCTATACATTTAATTTTAAGAAGGAACACGTAATATGCTGTTCATGTCTGTCTATAATCCGTGTTCTAATTTTCCTTGCTTATGTTGCAGCATAGAAAGCATTTCTCGTGTGCGATAATTTAAACGACAGGTGCACTTTGTCTTGGCAATTGCAGTTCGTTAACTCTACGATGATTTTCTTCCACAGATAGTGAAACAATTTTCTGTAAAGACTAATTTCTGGTCGATTCTCACAATACATAGTCTTGTACGGTCTGACACATTCATCTGAGTAATGAGGTATCTAGTTTTGCGGAGATACATGAAGAAACATTTTGTCTTCTTTCAAAAAATATTCAAGAATAATGTTCAAAATCGATGGCTCGAAGTATTACGACCCGTAATGTAGCTGTATCAGTTTCACAAACATTACATTACATGTTCCGTCAATTATACCGATGTTTTGTTTACAACAGTACACCACTTCAATTATCTCTGGTTGTAGTTCTGAAGTACAAAGCTTAGAGAAAACGTTTAAACAATCAGTACGGTATCGCTTCAAAATTTGTAGACTTCTTCGATCTAGGCCTAGAGTGTAGTGGAATTCTACAAGTTGCATTACATTTTACTGTAGTATTTTCACAGAATTAGTGGTGGTTGAAATTCGACTCTAAAACACTACTCAACAGTTGCTTACATACAACTATAACATTAAACAATATGTGACGAATACTGCAAATATAGCGGTACGAAACTATATAGACTAATTAACCAGTGAGTTATTTTGTAGTTAACTTTACTGCGTCAACCTAAACCTAGTTTCAGAGACCACCAAGTGCTTCGCCGGCCTTGAATTTAGTAAATTTAGTAAAGATATTTTAGTTACCTAAATCAAAACAATCATTCAATATTTTAAATCAAACCGTTTAAAAACAAAATTGTGAATCGATAATGTATAATTGCGACCAAAAAACAGTATAGCGTTTAAATTAAAATTATGGGACTACAATTGTTGGACAGCTAAATAAAAAATTAATATAGATTGCATCCGGTTATGATTTCAAAAGACGAAGAAATTCTTCATCACATTTTCTTTAACCTTGGTTTAGGATGAATGGGTGGTGCTTTAGACTTCCCTACCTTTACCTTTACTTTAGAGCCGCACACCCTTTCTTGTCTTCTGTCATTATTCCAATCAAACTCCTCCACTCGCCACCTGTTGTAAGGGTGGCCTCTGACCGGAAGTACGCCCCTGAACACCGGAAGTGACCAAATCTCATCTGACTGTGAAATTAGCCCCGTTTACCGCCACACGAGGGCGCCAAAGTCAAAAACACGTCCGGGAAACTGGCAAGGGAAATTAGGCGACTTTTAAAATTGTCGTTGTGCTCCAGAGCTTTGAGCGACAAACCTGATCCACGGTTTTATTTTTATCTAAAGAAATTACTTTTTATGACGATGTAGACATATTCCCGTGAGGGGGTGGGGTATGTTTGATCTAGTGTTGGTAACAACTTACTTTGATTACCTATACATTTAGATCAAGTTTTCACAACAACTAGATCAATTCAAATTTTTACACTTTACTAGGATATTTAGACTTCCAGGATAAACAATCAATATTGATTCGAACAGTAGGGATTGTAACGTGAAGAATACAATATATTTGGTTAATTTGTATTTCATTTTGGCAATGAAAATGTTTTGCATTTATTTTGTTTAGGGGATACATCAATATAACGGTTTTTTCCAAAACCAAAATGTTTTCAAGACTATAACTAGAGAGAATACGTGTGGCTATTTTTTAGCCTTTTGTGCAAATATTGATCGAATACAAAATTTCTATTTAGTAGGCTAGAGATAAATTGAAACATGGCAATACAAAGATGCCGACCCAGCTCCATGGTCAATAGGATTAGATGACTCATTTGGGGGGTGCGCCGGTACAACGAAAAGATTATGCGTTGACTAGTGGTCCATATAAGAAAATTCGAATATCACAAAAGTGTCTAAAAAGCTTTGCTGAGTGGAAAAACTTAAACATTTTAACCGAAGAGTCAGTTTGAGAGGCGAAAAATCTAAATGTTTAAAATTAAGTAATAAAAACTGTTTCAAATCCCAAATGTATAACATATGTTTAGTTTGCGGAAGATGTTTTTCCGCACATATGTGACAAGCTATGTAATTCCCCGATGTTAACCTTATGATGAGTATTCATATTTAAAGGGAATTAAAGAATTTAGTCAGCTGTTTCAACTAAAAAAGTTGGTTCCATGATATGGAAAAGCATTAAAAAGTTATAAGATTTACCAACAGGGTGCAGCACTAATTTTTTTGCATTTATGAAAACAGCTAATTTGAACTAAGTAGCAACAAAAAACTGTGATTCGCAATGAGAACTTTACTGTCAAAGTAGGATTGTTTACAGTTATGTTTATGTTTTTCATTTCATGAATAATTTGGGACATTTTGCGAATTGTTGATAATTTATTTTTCTCTATTGTTTAGGTGAAGTGGTAGAACATTATGGCTATGGTAGATGTGTAATACTATAGAATACTGTAAATTAAAAAAAGGTAATTTTATCAAACTGTGTCCTCCCTTATTGCAAACGCAAAGCTTGAGTATAACTGCAATAAGAGTTTTATACTTATATTCCAACCCCTTACGAAGGACGGGTAGGCCTACTATGCTAGTAAAATCAATAAAGTTAAAAATGTAAACACAGTACAGTATTATAATATTATTATTCCCTTGTCTGTGATATACAATGCACGGACATGTGATTTGCCTTACCCGTGGGTTTTCGGGTGACGCAAATCCAGAAATTAAACTGAAAAGTTCCACAAAACGCCTGTTTTTACATTCCACGTGATTACACAAATGGATAACTTGACTCACCTGTTGGATTTTGCAGTCAGGTCCACAACCTACGTCACCGTGCCCGTCATCTGTCTGGTTCTGAAACAGCCATTAAATTTTACTAGTTTAAATAATCTTAACGTCAAGACTGCAAAATGCAGAACTCCGGAACTAAATAAAATCGTTAAATAAATTCTTGAATGCGTTCTTCAGAGAAAAAAAATTATATACAGTAGATCAGATCGATGAACGCGATAAATTAAATCCACCATAGTAAAACAATTTTTTTATGGCAACAATGTAATAAAATCAAAATCAGCTGATCTTATCACATTGAAATTAAAAGTCAGTATTGTTTAGGTACTTTGTTACTCATGTAGGCATGCTTTTGTTCAATTTCAATCGTACCACAGAAAACATATTACTATACCTATAGTAGTATGTTATAGTAGGGGGGGTTATAGTAGTATGTTTTCTGTGATCGTACTGACCAAAGTACTGGCAGTCGGAGCGATGTAGAAGCTGGGAGCACATGATTGAAGTGTTTAAAGAATTATGCAAATTTGCACTCAAACAGTGTAGGTACTTTAAAAGAGGTTTTTTTTATGTAAAACAATTCGAAAATAGACTAAAAAATGCATAAATCTTTACTCTATATACTGGTGGAAGGACTTCTTATACTGTGTTGTCGTATAATACAGTATAAAGGAAAAGAACTAGTAAAAAAATTTAGTTTTATTTGGTCGTTTTAATTTCTAAGTCATGCATGTATACAGGATGATTTTTAATTGTCCCCCTCCAACTTTTTCTACATTTTTTCATCAATCCCAGACCACTTCCAAACATTGTTGGGCAGTAAGTACTTCATTTTGACAAGATGGACATTATTGGCCGCCATCTTGGATGAAAAATATTTTTTTTCTGTAAAGGTGGGGTTGTGACCTATTATTTCAAACAAGATTTTTACCCTGAATACAATGCCACATCCAGTTTAGAAATCTTGTCCTCATAAAAAAAGTCCTCATAAATTTGGAACGGATCAATATTTCTAAAAACGGACTGTGGCATTGTAATCAGCATAAAAATCGTGTTTGAAATAATGGGTCACAAACTCACCTTTACATTTGAAAAATATATTTTGCATCCAATATGGCGAATCCAAGGGCGGCCGAAAATGAACAACTTGTTAAAATGAAGTACTTACTACCCAACAATGTTTGGAAGTGGTCTAATATTGATATTTAAAAAAATGTAGAAAAAATTTGGAGGGGGCAATTAAAACTCACCCTGTTTTAAATGCTGACATAAATCAGGAACTTTTCCAAAACAACGCAAAACTATAAGACAACAACGTGTTACCGGTCACCAGCCAAACATAAATAAATTTTAATTATGCTTACCTGATCAAAAAAATATCACTCTGACAAAGAGTATGTTTGAACTTATGAACACTATTACTCTACAAGGGAATAAGTTTGACCTATGGTATAATGAATAATGATTTTGGGTAAAATAGGTGTAAAGCCGCGTTTACACCGGAGTTTCAAACAAAAAGTTGCAAACAGTAGTTTCAAATAAATGTTTGCAATTTTTATTTCATGATTTGTTTCCACGTTTCATGAAAATGTTTGAAATAATTTCGACCTTGATTATGACTCGCCTCGTTCTGGTTCTGATTATTCCGAGGATGTCAAGTGTCGAGGATAGCCGCGGCGGCGTGTGTCGTGTTGTCATATCAACGTAGGCCGAGACGATGCTGGGTGAACATTGGTGATTGTATGAATCATCAAATTAAAATTATTATTAATTTTAAAGATTACAAGGACTTAATTATAAGTCTTTTAATCCACATGAGACGTTATTATTATTTTTAAATTAGACGACCTTGTCATTTGAGGTTAGTGTTAATTCATTGACAGTCAAACAGCATTTTTCCGATTAATTTAACACTGAGTCGAGACACAGGGTGGTGCGAGTGATCACGTAGTGAGTGAGAGTGGAGGATGTAGGGAAGGGGATGGCGGAGAAATGTTTCTGTTTCGTGTTTCAACGGCTCATAGTGACCGAAACTAGTGTTGCAAACAAAGAGTTTGCAACTCCCTTTGATCTTTACCGACTTCAAGTGGAAACAAAAATTTCTGTTGCAAACACTGAAAAACTGTTTGCAACAGCAAAATGTTTCGTCTAAAAATGTGCGTTTTTAGAGATGTTTGCAATTTCTGTTTGCAACTCGTGTTTCAAACTCCGGTGTAAACGCGGCTTAAGTGGCACGACACGATGCTCATATTTCCACACATACTTAGATAGGTATGTGCCCAGTAAACACTATTCACTTGCGTTTTCCAAAACAATCACTCAGGCCTATGTTTAGACCGTGTTGTTGTTGTGGACAGGCAACGTACGACATTCGATACAGGCGCGGTGGATATCTGTTGAGGCGCCTCGTAGGTCTTCCCTGGGCTGGCAGTAGGCACCTGCGTTGTAATGGTGGTACTGCGCAGCTAGAGAGAGGACGACGTCAAAATCAGTTTGCTTTGCCAACGACATGCGGGGGGCGAGTACCCAGCCCAGAGCCAGAGGGGCGGGTGCCCGGCAGGTCGCTCTGGACAGGACTCCAACAGCCCGTGTCTTCCTGTCCACGGCGCGAGGATCCGTTTCCGGAACAGAATGTCGTTGGAAACCCTTCCGTTAGGATTTAATAATTGTAAATCATGCGAGCTATAAATTCAAATAATACAAATTTTGCTATAAAGTAATTAGGCCTAACTTATGACATAAATTAACACTCCCGTCAATAATCATCCATACGGATCAGAAGAAGACAACTTTAATGGTTAGTTTCGATAGGTTTCTGTAAAATAATTTTTAGTTTATTGTTTGTTTCAGGTTACTTTATATTTAAAAAAGTTTGGCCTAAAAAGATGATATAATCGTCAACGAAAGTTTTTCCTCTAGTATTAGGGGCCTATAACGAAACAGTAAAACAAAACACAAATAAAAAATGTATATTCTAAAACAAAAGAGAAACTTTAAGGCGACATTAGCGCGTGTGAACGTTACCGAAATAAAACACACATGAAAAAAACACTGAGTTTTACTACTATAGGCCTAGGACGCACTTGTACTATTTAAAGCAATCAATAATTATACTATCCAGATACTCTCGTGTCTGACAGCTAGCTTAAACAAGCACAATGCATTAATGCATCGTAATTAAAATATTTAAACAACATAGAGCTATTATCTTTTTATTTTATCTGCATTTTTTCAGAAATTGTGTAAAAACGCTGATACTAATATTAGTTAATAACACAATAAAAACAGGATAGTACTTTTACTATTTTCCATCATAGAGGCCACCATAGGTAGGTAGGCTTACTTCTTGCCAAAGGCGATTTTAAATCTCAAAGAGACTGAATACCATTTAGAAAGGTGTTAACATAAGGAACATTTACAAAACAATATTTAACAATACATAAATACCGCCCTAATTTCACATTACATTTTATACAATCACACATAGTCACTACGCAAAAACATTTCGCGAATGAAAGCAGCCGCCTCTGCAAGTGGACAAATTAATGCAACTTGTCGGCGACACTCAGCTGATTTGCGAAAACGCTTTGAGGAATCGCGTGATGGACCTTGTTTAGCAGACACTGTAGTGCGACAAGCTGCACGAGTACACACACTGCCTGCCTACAGCCACAGCCACCGTGACGTCATCACTTGACCCTTCATTGAAGTCTTCGCGACCACCGACAGATTCCTCTGTATTTAGCACATAGTGGGGATACTACTGGACAAAATCAGACAAACCACCAGCGGCTGCATAGATTGTTTTAGGCCTAGTTAAAAAGGGAATATGGGAATTTGTATATTTACCATCGAGATAGGATGAAACGAAATGTTTAAAGTTATCGTATTGTAACGTCCTGCAAATAGGTCTAGGTAGGTAAATCTACGGTTAGTTACAACGATTATTACATGTTGAATAACCGTACATGGGTAGGGTAATACTCCCGTTGCATTTTGGTAAGATAAACCCTAGAGAAGTCATGTAGGTATAAGCATTGACTAATTAATAGATCATGGTATAAGGTATAAGCATAAGGTTTTTTTTACCATTTTGCCGTTGAGTGAGATGGAAAAACTGGGAGAACATAGTCTATTAGTTACTATTCCATCATGGGTCCATGTTTCAATATGTGACATTTTATTGTACGACCAGGTCCATCGTCAATCTTGACAAGGTCTAAGACACTTGATTGTAAAATGTGCTCTCAGAACAATAAACTATTGATAACAGTGCAGTAATAATTATTACCATTGCATTAGATAATCATTGTTAAACTTGAGGAGAGCGTGATACTTGATACAAAACTATACTTGATTTAGCAATAGTGGTACCATTTACTTTACATAGTCAATGGTGGTACCTAGCGTAAATAAAAGAGGACTGTAAGCCTAAAACTCTTACTGAAATACTAATTTTGTGTTTTGTGGTACAGTACTGCATTGCCAAAAGTGAAGAACAAGAAAATTTATTAGCAAGACGTTTGCAGTTTGGTTGCAATTTACAATATTTAATTTAGAAATATTGGTGAGGAATCATTGATGGTGTATTTTACACGGTATAGCGATAAAAATCTAAACTCAATGATATTAAGTTAAAAAGCTATTCGATATAGAAGCGCAGATGAAATAATATTATAGCAAAACGTATTGCTAATGTTAATGTTGTAAAAACTAATTTACATGAAACAACGAACCTAACAATTTTGTAGTCTTCTTTCTCGCTATACAAAGTATCATACAGTAACTTTAGGGTTGGATATTAGATCTTTGCTTCATGTAACACTCGTCGAATTTCACTGACAGGCCAATAGTTTTTGTATTCATTGGGCCAACGTAAACAAGTTCATTATTTTACTTTAAGAATCTATCAAAATACTTAAACACGACATTAAACCAAAGTTGAAGATTTGGTAATTATAAAAAAACCAAATACTGTTTTGTTTATTGTTTATCTATAAATCATAAAACAGACATTTCCCTCGTGAGAACAAGGCTGACTTTGGCTTCCCGCAGGTCAGAATACTGCACACTGCACAGTGCACAGTGCGCGATATACACTATTTTTTAGCAAAAAAAGTATGAGTGGGAGAATTCATCGGCGGACCGTGGGAAGGAGCGCGGGAATAACACTGGGCGAGGGAACAATAACTTCAAAACCTTATCAGCATTCCTGAAAGAATGAAAGATACTACTTGAGCGCGATGAAACATAGCCTATTTTATACAACACAATAACTCAAGCGAAGGTCTGTACGCATTTTGACGGAGGGTTTACTTTAATTAAAAGCCTAGTACAATACTAGAAACCTATAACTTAGTTAAGTTTGTGGAAAATTCTTCATGGGGGAAAAGGCAACACACCCTAATAAAATTCTCTTATCTGCGCCTATAACCACACATAGTGACCTCTCATTTGAAGGGGTTGTCAAGAGAATAACAATGACGCAAACCCAAGGTATCTCATCCCTAGCCAAAATCGCAGGTACAGTATTCTAAAGTTTGATTTGTGAAAACACCCATTCCACCAATTCAAAATTTGGAACACCAGTAAATATGGGATAGTCTTTTTTGATACACAAATGAACGCGCAGATTCGTATGTTTACAGGATGCGTAATGAAGATTTTTATTGCTTTTATCAACCTTGATCGTTGATCGTTAAACTCTCCGATAAGACCCCGTTTAGCATTTATTCCTCACAACTCGCGACACAGAACAGTGATAAACAGATATCTGAAAGATATTTCAGTTGTTTTAGTGCAGTAATCTAGTTTGAATTGTGAACGTCAACAGCATTTTATTTATAGTGTAACTTAATTAATGACACAAGTACCAACTACTCGTTTAACAATCTAACCTAAAATGTTTCCAACATTGTTTATCTATGTTATTGCAGTCATGATTACATAGTTGAAAACAACAGAGACAAGTCACGAATAAACGTTAAACTAACCTAAATTGAACCTGAAATTCAAAAGTTTAGTTTTAAAACAAACATAGAATCTAAATACATTTAACTCAACCATGGATAAAGGGTGAATTGTTTTCAATCAAACAAATAATTACCTGAAGGGGGCATCTCGTTTCACACTGGCTCTCGAAATTCGGCACGATGAAGGCACTTGTAAAAACAACATAAATCACTAGAAAAGTCCAATATCCGACCAACAGCCGCATTGTCAGGTAAAATTGCACGCCATGAACAACCAACACTGCACAGTAACTAACACAACTTGATGAACACACGCGGGCGTAAACAAACGAAATGTCAAACGCGGCGCCTGGCGGACAGACCGTGCATCACTCGAGTTCGGCGCGCTACTGAAGATGAAGAAGAGAAGCAGAAGTTGTAAACTGTCCACCCCTCCCCCACCCTCAGACACACGCCCCGTATATAGGGGTGCACTAATGAATGGTAATACAGTTTTTTGTAATTAGTAAACGAAACGAATACGTAGATTTGTATTATAAAACGTTTTAATGAGCTCGCTTTCTTGTCCGGTACGAATTTTGCAATCAATTAAACTATCTTCCCGATGAGCTAGAGACTTGAAATTTGAAACATAGCTCACAAATGGATGACAATGCAATAATGTATCACTTTATTTTAATTATTTTTCTTATTTCCCTTGGGCTAAGCCCCATGAGCTTCCAAATTTTCCATGTTTACATTTTGAAAGATTATAAATATAGCAATTGAAGTCAGCTGTAAATACTGTACTTAAATTTGACAGTTAAAAAAGAGCAGAGAGAGGTTAAGGTGTACAGGTTCTGCAAAGCAAGCATTTCAAAGTAAAGGTAAACCATCTGATTACATATACAGTAGTAAGGTTTTGGTTATATTGTATTAACAGGCCATATAAAATAGATTTAACATATTTACACATTAAAGACTAAAAAGTAGAAAATAATTTATAAATATGTTGAGAGAATAAATACTTGTAAGATTTAAAACGAAAAACGTGGGGCGCATGCAATAGATAATAATACCCCACGTTTTTCGTTTTAAATATTACAAGTATTTATTCTCTCCAGGTATTTAGGTATAAATTATTTTCTACTTTTTAGTGCGCTTAAAAATGTGGTATTTTTAAAAAGTATTTTTATTTTTTTTTTTTTTTAATGTTTATTTTGAATTTTTACAGGTAAATATTTGGCGACAGTTTAAAAAAATGTGCTGCAGGGATCGTCAGCACAGTATTTTACACCATTAGCTTTTAATTTCAACAATTTATGGTTATCTTGTTACTTGTTTTATTAAATTATTTTATTGTAAACTAACTTAGATAAATTGTAAAATATTTTACCATTAACTTTCAAACTATCATACGAATAACAATTAATTGCTACTGTATTTCCCAACGGACCTTATTTGTAGTAAAGTATGTGTGTTCAATGTACTAAAATCAATTAATAAATCATGTAATGGAGTAATCCCATTCATTAAAAATATTTCTGAAATTATTCATACTATTTTGTGTCACTAAACAAAGCTCAACACTATTTTCACTAATTAAAGAGATAAATTAACAGTCTAATGGTTAAGCTTAACATTAAGCTTAATGGTTTATTGTGGAACTTACCATTACATTAAGTTCAACAATTTTTGTATAATATAATAATACTAGCAACAGTGCCCGTTGTGGTTAAATACAACGGTCTCTAGTAAAATAATGGTTATGAAATCCATACACCACTTTACTCACTAATATTAATGGTACAGATTAAGCACATAACATTAGATAATTATATGTTGCATACTGGTAAGCCAATTATTGCCATCTATAAAAATTATTGGTTTTTCTTTTCCGAGTCGGGTTAGCTCTTTTACCCAACCGATTTTCATAATTTTGGCTTTAAACTAAAGGTATGGACGTACCACAGATTTCCCATAAAGCATCGGCATTCATTTTGACGTATATTTTGAAAGAATTTAAATTTTATTATTTTTATTTTTCACTTCAATTAAAGTTGTATTCCAGCAGTTCTATATGTTACCCCTGTACGTTTTGGTCTAAAAACCTTTAGTGAAATACCAGCTTTCATTTGAGCTATTGATTATTAAGATCGGACTACCTAAAACACACTGCTGAATCACAAATCAACAATAATTACAATCGTTTTAGTACCGTACTTATCTGCAATCAATGATACGTAACTCTATTTTTATTTAAGTTATTTTAATATGTCTTGGTCTTAAAATACTTCTTAGGCTTTCACTTGAGATATTGATAGTTTTAAACAGTTAAGTTTAAGATACTGTATCGCTCAATCAGAAAATATAAATTTGATTATATCTTGGATATGGAATTTAGTTTTAGATATATTTACTTAATTCTAATTACGTTATTCTATTTGTTTTAACCTAAGAACCTTCTGTGAAATACCAGCTTCCATTTCATTTATAGATTATTAAAATCGGACGTACCTAAAGCACACAGCTAAATGATGTACAACACAAATTGTTCAAAAAATGTATTTATTTATCATTGATTTATAGTCAAACGACCTAGTAAATCTTTTAAAAAATCAAACTTTTATGATTATTTGCAAATCTACACAAATTAGGCTTTCCAATGACCTATTATTTAATGAAATCGGTTCAGTAGAACTGTAGATTTAATTGTACAAAGTTTAACAACAACATTTCTAATTCAGTATTTTCTCACCACTATAAATTGGGAGGTTGCTTAACGTTTTTGCAAATAACATTGAAACGGTGAGGAAATCAACCAAAGTGGAAGGCGATACTCTGAAAGAGAATAAAATTTCCTACAAATTACTATCATGTGTTTTTTGAAAATACTCAATAAAGGCAGCCTAAAGTTGGCTACAAATATAAACTTGGAAAAAAATGAGTTTTAAATGTATTATTGTTTATCTTTATTTTTTTCACCTCAAATATCTAATAAAATCAAACTTTCATAATTATTTGCAAATCTACACAAATTAGGCTTTCTAACGACCCATTAAGTAACAAAATCGGTCCGGTAGAAGTCTAGATTTAGTTGTACAAAGTTTAACAAAAATATATCTAATTCAGTATTTTCTAACTACTATAAATTTGGAGATCACATAGATTATTGCCAATAACTTTTAAATGGTGGGGAAATCGACCAACGTGGATGGGATATTCTGAAAGAGAATAAAATTTACTACAAACAACTACTATGCATTTCTTGTAAATGCTTAATAAAGGCAGCCAAAAGCTGGCTACAAATAGAAACTTGAAAACAGAAACTTGAAAAGGCAGTTTTTAATTTATTTTTGTTATTTTTACTTTTTTACCACAAAGATATAATAAAATCACACTTTCATAATTATTTGCAAATCTACATGAGTTGGGCTTTCCAATGACCCATTAATTAACAAAATCGGTCCAGTAGAAGTCTAGATTTAGTTGTACAAAGCCCGGTCCAGTAGAAGTCTAGATTTAGTTGTACAAAGGGGCTTACCCCAACTCCGCGCGGTGGTCAGAAATCTGTCAAAACCGACTGCCCAACTCCGCGCAGTGGTCACTTCGGGTCCCTCGCGGCACATGCCCAACTCCGCGCAGTGGTCAATTTTGGCTCTCACAGCCCTGACGGATGAGAGTTTGTGCTCTAAGTTTGAAATTATGATATATATTTTAATCATTTATAAGAAAGGGAAAGTAAAAAGGTATATGCCTACCCAAAACAGGAGACGAAGCTTAAAAACCACTAATATAAGAAGTTTTAAAAAGCCCGTGAGAAAGAGTGACTGTAAATTTATATGTTCCAAAGTCTACAATACTCAATCATTCACATTAGCACTGGGTTTATGAGCTTACTGATAAACTTGAGTACCAAATTCAAAAATGTTAGTCTTGTAAACAACCACAGATTGCTTCAAAAAATTGGCTGTAATCTCTGTTTCATAAAACAGTTAGCTATACACCTCAAATTGGGGAAAAAATTGGCTGAAATTGGTTTACGAGCATATTTCTTTTACATCTTATTAAAATTGGCAAATTTTACGTCTATGAAGAGGGTTTTCATTGAATCCAGACCCAGGCCAACGTTTTAGCGGATTTCCCATTTACAGGGTGATTGATATAAGTGTGCCAGCCGTTTTATTCGAAAACTATAAGAGATATCAAAAAAAGTTAAATGGTAAGTGCCTTGGATTTTGTATTAAAAAAATGGTAGTCAAGTCAAAAAAATTATTTTAGCCACCATTTTTTCAATATGGCCGCCAACTTTGATTTTTCTCATGGAACACCCTGTATTTTATGATGTATTCTGGTAGAAAATGTAATTTTAAGACGATTTTATTCTTGTAATTTTTTTTCATAAACCTAACCGTTTCAAAGATAATAATGGTTAAGTTTTGAAATTTTTGCATGAGAAAGAGTTTCGATAAAGGCCTAAGCAAGCATGCCAGCTGTTTTATTCTAAAACCATTCAAAATTTCACAACTTAAACCATTATTATCTTTGAAACGGTTAGGTTTATGAAAATAATTACAAGAATAAAATCGTCTTAAAATTACATTTTCTACCAGAATACATCATGAAATACAGGGTGTTCCATAAGAAAAATCAAAGTTAGCGGCCATATTGGAAAAATGGTGGCTAAAATATTTTTCTTGGCTTGACTATAATTTTTTAAATAAAACATCCAAGGCACTTACCTTTTAACTTTTTTTGATATCTCTTATGGTTTTCGAATAAAACGGCTGGCACACTTATATCAATCACCCTGTATAGGGAATAGGCTATTACCGTAGGTCTCATGGTAAGACCTGGACTCACTGATTAAATTTTTCGTTTTTATTTCCCAAAGGCCGAAAACACCATCCGTTCAAATTCATATATATATATACCGGTATATATTTTTTATGTGGATATATGTAAGTCTGTTAGCACGATAACTCGAGCAAAATGATCTGATTTTGATTAAATTTGGTGTGAACGTGTAAACCGTTTATTCGAACGAGTTCACAAACCAGCACGATTGAACCATGTGAACGGGGGCTTATGTATATATTATGAAAGTATAACGGGTTGAAATTTCTTTTGAAACCACTTTGTAAAGCTTAAAAACAAATAATTCAGTATATCGAAGCGTAAAAGCGCCATAATAGTTACAGAAAAAATGCCAAAGAATTCTTATTTTTAAATTCTCATGTTATTCTTATGGCGAATAAGTAAACTGTTGTAAATTCCTGTAAAAGGAACATATTTTGATTAAATTGTCAAATTCATTTATTTTACACTTAACTATTAACATTTCACACTTTTTACCCTGTCTCAAACACTTTTTGATGGGTCTGTAATTGA